TGGAGCTATCTTCTATCTGCTAACATGCGCGTTGACACGTGATTGTAGTGTGCACCCTAAAAGTGCGTCTTGCTTCATGCAAAACCACTCTCACACTGGTACACACCGTTCGTTGGAACGTGATTGCGGCTCCGTGAATGCCGGTTATCATTGCCGCAAACTGGTATGCCGCACGCGATGCTACACGAGTGCTTGGGTCATGTGTGTGTGTGTGTGTGTGTGTGTGTGTGTGTGCATGGCTGTCTGTTATCACAGTTCGAAAGAGTGTTGACTATGTAATCGATCTACCATTCATCCACGAGCGCACAACTTGTAACAAAAACGGAACGTGGCAGATCGTCAACTACACTGAGGGATTCTGCACTCCTACTCAATACTATATTATCATGATGATTCCGTCTCATAAGGTGACGATAAGAAACATTTAAGTTGATTTTGTACGCGGTACACACAACCTCGTAGCATGTGGGTACACCGTCTCTAACCCCATACCGTAACCATTACCACCTACTCACTGTATGTCAGCTGTCATTTTTTAGATGATTTTCTGAGTGCCCCCATATAAGAAGAGTCGTTTAACAACTGTTCCCCGAAGAATACACATTAATTGTCCATATTTGTATACAATTGGAGGCGGGTTGAAAGTTCCCATGGGGGTACGATAATATGTTTGGCTATTTGCTCCGTTCCAAGTTTGTCTGCGACCATATTACACTAGTTAACCTTTATTTTTGGTTTCAGGGTCTTGAATAGGCGAGATGGCTCAGTGGTTAGAACGCGAATTTACTGACCGGAAGGTCCGTGTTTCGACCTCTGCCTCTCGACTTTCCCTGTCTAGACTCGGATGACCTAGCAGTATCCCAGCCCTCGTGCCCATCACATACTTCAGGTGGTCTATCCGAACAGTGTTATTTTACACCTTCGCCCGCCTGTTGAGTTCAGACAATAGTATGTGTAAAGCATAATGTATCCACGCGCGCTGCTAAGTTCCTGACCAGTAGGTACCACCTTGAAGACTTGGTTGAGCTTGTGTGTCATGGTGATAACACCGACTAAACTGGTGAAAACATTTTACAAAGGAAGCTACTCAAAAGTTTGCTGAAACTCTTTGACATTTTACAAAGGAAGCTACTCAAAAGTTTGCTGAAAACTCTTTGACAGTCTACGACCGGTTTCGCTCCTCTTGAGGCTCATCAGGTATGCACAGTCCCCGAGTTTCCGTCAACCTAATGCTCTACTTGAAGGTTGTTCCTCAATGTGCAACCATACTAGGAAGACCACCAAGGCTTCACCGTCTTTGGAAAGCGCAGTATGCAGACCGTCCGGACCGGGTTTCTTTTCGGGGAATGTCATTTCCAACTCGATTTTTGTTGAGAGTGGGTTACTATCGATGTTCTGGCTCGTTCGTTTCTTCCAGTGGTTGTGTAAAGGGAGTCCAGCTCATGTGTTCCTTAAGACATCCCGCCGACTGCTCAAGACGACTATTCTGCGAATAGATTGTCCTTCCATCTTTTTTCGCGAATCGTCCCGCTGACACCCCTCGTCTTATTTCAGCTGGTCGAATCAGCTGAAATAGGGAGCGACTTTTGCCTTTAGCGAATGCCTTTTCACTTGTCGCTTCGCAATCCGCCACTGCTCACTGTTATTCTTGAACGAACCGAAACGCATAAAAAACCTTTCTGTGGTAACACGTCTGAACCTTATCCAGGGCAGCCTAGCTTATTGATGCTTTGGTCACTAATTGTCAGGTGGTCCAAAATTGGTACCCGGCTGTATTGATGTGGGTATTGCGTTGTGTGACAGCTGAATACATTCTGCCTGGCTGGATTCCTGTGAACAACCCCTAGTATACAGCCAGACGGACCAACTTTGTTGGAATTTAGAACCCTAAACCTGTTTGTTATCTCGGCGTACATCCAACAATCTGTAAAAGTGACAATGCAAAAGACGCTTTTTACAGAGAAAATTCAAAATTTCTGTGGATCTGTGGGTGGTCTATCTGGCGATTTTCGAGTTTTTAAAGGAAAAGCCATGCACCGAACTGATATACACTGCTCACAAAATGCGATTATTAAGGAAGCAACTGTCTAGACAACTGCTACACGTAAAACAAACCGGTCGGCCAGAATCCGAAACATCACAAATTCGGCGTTTGATGTTGCGCATCCCAAAATAAAAATATGGGTCAAGTCAAACGGAATCTCACATTGATTCTGTCCCCTAAATGAGGCAAAGAGGGTTATCGCACCGGCCCAACAGTACAATTCGACAGGGGGATGTCTAAAACTATGCTTGGTCCGCAGTGTGATGACTGATCGGGTTAGGGAAGCTCAAGAACGGGAAAAGGTGAGGCGATTAGGAACGATCGAACTCTCCCAACTTATCCGTAACAGTTAACCATCACCGCACCATTAGCTTCACGGTGGGTCATGAACTGCTCGGCTTCAACGGAAAACGAAAACGAAATTAAACTTCTGAAAAAGAACAGCACTTGACCTCTTGTGTAAGGATGGAGGAGGCGGATTCGTTTAGTCTGAAAAAACTTGCAATCCATTTAGGAATAGTGGATATCATCCCACACATACTTACCAGCACTCGAGAGAAGCGATTACGAAAACCGAGTACGGTTCATTCCTTCTCGCCCATGCATCTACCACGTCTTTACCTAACGATAGCTCCTTGATTACNTAAGGATGGAGGAGGCGGATTCGTTTAGTCTGAAAAAACTTGCAATCCATTTAGGAATAGTGGATATCATCCCACACATACTTACCAGCACTCGAGAGAAGCGATTACGAAAACCGAGTACGGTTCATTCCTGCCCGCCCATGCATCTACCACGTCTTTACCTAACGATAGCTCCTTGATTACCGCGACACAGATAGCCAGCAGTTTTTGTCTTCCTTAAGGGAGCATAAGAAGTGTCACAAAGGGGGATTTTAGCTATGGTTTGCGAAGCTGGAGTATCACACACCAGCCATGTCAATGACTGGAGATATTTACCGACAGGATGTCACACAACCATTCCCTTCCGTTACATTTGGTCAGAAACCCGTTATCTTCTTGTTTTTGGCACCCTCTATTCCATAATACGTAAGCTCGGAGGACCCGAATTACCGAATTGAAGTTCTAAAATACTATTTATTGGTCCTGTCAGTAATGTTGCCAGCTGAGCTCCTTTGGTTAATTGACTCGATTAGGTTTGAGCGTCGTAGTCATCCCAAGTGTCATCTTCCTAGCACCAGATGGTTTTTTGTTGCGTTTCGTGCGCACCCGCTTACTCGAACACGCGCAGCCATGAACTAACCGTATAGCAAGTGCATTCCGTGCCCATCGGCTCATTTAGGCAACACCGGCTAATTTCAGGTCGTAATTAACATAACTTGCATACTGATGCAGATGGCTCCATGCCGTCTTGCGCGGCGTCGCTGTTGTTTGACCTTGATGACCACTGAGCTCAGGATGACATGAACTTACTGACCGGAACGTCGGATCTCTGCATCCCGACTGCTCCTGTCTAGGCTTGGCAGTATCTCGGCTCTCGAGCTTCCTTCGGGTGGCTGTCAGGTTGCCCAAGCCTAGACGGGAAGTCGAGAGGCAGAGGCCGGGTTCGAACCATGGGCCTTCCGATCAGTGGATTCGCGCTCTAACCACTTGAGCCATCTTGCCCAGCATGGGAGCTGGGCACCAAAGGGGTGCTATGATTGAGCGAAAACTTGGGTTAAAACGACTGATTGGACATGCTTACTGGAGCACGTCTATCGAAGTTCACAATTTGAAAACGTTCGTTTCATGGTATGGCAAGGTCGCAAGCAGCCTCCAATAAAAGAGTCAGATATAATAAACGATCAGCTACGTCCTCAATCCCTGTGTGAAATCGTGCCCTGCTTTGATGTACATATTAGTGGTAAACGTCCTATGTGCCATTGATGTATACTCAATCCGATGCCCCGAAATGAAACTGAAGCTGGATTGGTTAATTTAATTTACTTATCAAAGCTGTTCGTTGCTTATTGATGATCCTCTTTGACAACCGCATTCTAATGACTACACAATTGGTGATGAAACCCATTGGGTTTTTTCAGTCAATGTGGAATCTCACTAAAGAATTCAGATACCCGATACCTGTCCTATTCGTCTATGTTATCGCCCTTGCTTTTAGATGGTGGTTAAGAAGCAAACCAAGTTTTGATTGAGGCTGCTTTTATTATCCGGAGCTCAGTCGGAACGAATCAGCTAGCAGTCCATCAAATTTCAAGTGATTTGGGCTGTTTTCCTTTGCAAATTTTTGTCCCATCGGCATGATGTTCCCCATTCGATGTACGTGAGAACAGTTTGGCTTGTTGCTTGTAATGTTCTGTTAATTGTGCCACTCACTCTTGATTGCAACGTTTGAAAACAGATGTGTCTCTGGCTTCCTGGTCTTACCCCTAACCAGCTTTTTGTGTGGGTGTGATCGAAACTTCTCAAAACACAATACAATTCCTGTGCTGCCGGCACGAAGGCGCTTACGTAAACTACACGTCGCTTGTGCCGACTAGATTTGTGCGCATGTAGGCGAAAAGTGCTCCCTACGAATAAACGGAATGCAGTATCCATAGCTTAACGGTTCATAACGTGGATTGTATTGAATAGTCTGTTTGACAGTTAGATTCAGATACCCAGTGAACGTCTGCTGAAATTATGGCATCCGATAGTGGATCTCACCAATTAACCATGAGAACGAAGTGTTTATTGAGGTCACCTCTTTGTGGTTGGTCAGATCTGAGTTGATTGTTTGTGGCGATAGCCGTGATTCACGGACAACAACGTTGATACTGGTTTAAAGCCTTACTTTACTATCCCCTGAGGCATCTAACGACCCGTTGCTTAAAAAATCCATGTTTTTTTGTCTACACTTCCTACCCCACCCTCCACAGTCTTATGATGCTGGAAGCAAGACCTCAAAATGCGGGGTGGTTTCACCCAGTCAGCTTCCAGCTTCCACGGTCTCAGTTCCTATGCAACCGAACCATCAATACGGAATCGCAACCACGGCCGGTGGCTTTGCAAAGTCCAACAACAGTATCAGTTGGTCGTCGTTGACACGCTTATCCGCGGCCTATGGTAGCCACACTCCCATGACTCATCTGGCCACAGTGAACCCAACCTCCAATCCGACTGGTCCCACCCCACCATCATCCAATTCGGCCTCATCCTCTAGCTATTCTTCAGTCTCGCCCGCTGCTCTGTCAACTACTTCCGGATTGGGCTCAAGTCTCAGTGACCCGAAATCCGTGGACGCATCACCGGGAGAAGTGGCAACCATGTTAGGGAACACATCGTTTTCATGTTCATCTGGTGGACATACAGCGATCCAGTCAATCCCCATTCAATCAGATACCGTTTCTTACAAGTCTACTGAAGTGAGTTATTTTCCCTAGTCTGCATGATACTGATAGAAATGGTACACTATTAACTTTGATTGTGGGGTCCATGCTTGCCGAATTCCATGGACACTCATCCAAACAGTGCTATGTATCATTTTTTCTTCAACAAACTGATTCATCTGGCTTTTATTTGGATGTCCGCTTGGATATCGCTTCCACTACATCCCTGTTTCTTCGTCGGTGAATAGTTGACTGAGGAGGCTGAATTCACCTAGTTCAGAGCTGACATTGTATGACTGCTTGAAAAATGCGGTATGTGTGTATGTATGTGCCCTTTGGTCAGTTTACCAGCGATTCGTTTAGGGTTGTAAGCACGATTTGTCTGTTTTCTGAGATAGTAGCTGTAGGGTTGACGTCAAAGGTGACTTAGAACAATGCGACTTCCATGTGGTCTGCAGAGTTCATCATTGAAGCGGCTACAGGTAGTGTTATGCACTGGCACCATCAGTGCTTGACACTTCGGAAGTCAGCTGATCCTGTACCATCGGACGGGCCGCCCTGAGCCCAAACTCATAAGAACCGTAACGCCTAAAGTTGGACCTGGTTGAGTTTTGAGTTAGTTTTTTGTAAATTTCTTGTAGGATAATAATTTGATCAACCTGTCACGGTGAGGTACAGTTTTCATAATTCATATACCTGTAACTCCGAACTTCATTTATATAACACAGTGGTACATAGTGAAGAGTTTGTTTTGATGAAAAAAATCTACAGAAAAATTGCCTCTGGCAACGATTTGTAATGTCAATAATCAGCTACGAACTGGAGAGAACTCTAGGATCTTGACTTCGGGGCGATTTACGGCGGTCTTTGTTGAGAATTCACAGGAGATACCCGAAAAGTCTTCGATTATAATCTGAATTTCGTGGAGTCGTGCAAGAATAATTTGCATTAGAGTGGTCCTACCGAGGGGAGTTTCGCTAGTTGGAAACTAATTTGTAATAATGCCTTCTCAAGAGAACGGATTTTTCTCGTTTCTCGGTGGATCGATTATCATCGAATGCACAACACTGTGAGCATCACCTGTTTCCACTGAAGTTCCACATGATTTTAGTTGAAAAGTACAACTGTCTTCTGAGGATTTTACTTGTTTGTTGTAATGCTTAGATCCCTAATCGACCGTCCTAATGTCATTTCGTGGTTCGTCCTGACCACGGACTGTAGTATTTGTCCAGTGGTCATCGCGATGCTCCACCGCCGTCATCGGATATGTGGTAAAAACCACTTCCCTTCTTTGTCAACAACATCTTCCATTATAAGCATACTGTTGTTTCGCGGTTATCTTGTTATCTTGTCGAAAACAATGGTCTACCGGAGACTGTGGCACGCATGAATCTGGGGTCTCTTGGTTTGGGTACATCCTCGGTGTGTTGATTTATCCTCTCCAAGACTAAGCATCCTGGCAGCATACTTACGCTCTACCTTCTCACTGGCTTCTTTGTTTGTTCTACATAGAAATGCCGCCAGTTTTGAGTCGTGTATTCCACTCTCGTTCCACTCTTCAATCATTGATGGTTGTTGACAACAACGACAGCACGCGAACGAATTAATGAAACATTATTGCTTGCAAATCTCGTGACTCGCGTCCCTGTTTGTCTGTCCTTAATCCTCGATAATGTTTTTCCTGTTAGTTTGCCTCACCTTATGGTTAGACGGACATGGTTGCTTTTTCTAAATATGTGACGTACGTTTGTTTGTATGTGCCTTATCAGTTTATTGTTAATGATTCCGAAGCTCAGTTTTGCTTGACTGTATGGATAGACCAACAGCGATCACGTTTACGCCAGTTGGGTCACTGCTCACGTGTCTCACATGTAACGGCAGCTATCCGCAACCAGTTTTTCTGGTGAATAGGACACATGATGCCAACCGGATCAGATCAAAACTTCTGTTTATCTTGTGGTCGGAACATACATGCGTATATGTACGTATATATACGTATATATATATATATACGTATATGGCTTTGTAAGCCTAATTGAGCTGTGCCCCACGTCCGATTTAGGTATGTAAACGCACATTCCCAGTAGCTGCCGTAATAGCGCCAGTGCTGTCGACGATCGATAATGGAGAGGACTGGGGAGTTGGTTTACCTTTGTTCTGGTGCCCTGATCGGAGACAAAATAACCATTTCAACCGAGATCAGCTCATATGTATGCTATATCGGTGCGGAACCTGATCACTACGAGCATAGGATGCCGAATGGTTTTCGGAGGGAAGAACTCACNAATTCAAGAAGATTCATCAAATCGCACATCGAAAGTGAGTTCTTCCCTCCGAAAACCATTCGGCATCCTATGCTCGTAGTGATCAGGTTCCGCACCGATATAGCATACATATGAGCTGATCTCGGTTGAAATGGTTATTTTGTCTCCGATCAGGGCACCAGAACAAAGGTAAACCAACTCCCCAGTCCTCTCCATTATCGATCGTCGACAGCACTGGCGCTATTACGGTAGCTACTGGGAATGTGCGTTTACACACCGAAATCGGACGTGGGGCACAGCTCAATTAGGCTTACAAAGCCATATACGTATATATATATATATATACGTATATGGCTTTGTAAGCCTAATTGAGCTGTGCCCCACGTCCGATTTAGGTATGTAAACGCACATTCCCAGTAGCTACCGTAATAGCGCCAGTGCTGTCGACGATCGATAATGGAGAGGACTGGGGAGTTGGTTTACCTTTGTTCTGGTGCCCTGATCGGAGACAAAATAACCATTTCAACCGAGATCAGCTCATATGTATGCTATATCGGTGCGGAACCTGATCACTACGAGCATAGGATGCCGAATGGTTTTCGGAGGGAAGAACTCACTTTCGATGTGCGATTTGATGAATCTTCTTGAATTGCGTTAGTTTGGTTACATGCCCCGACGGCCAGCGGACCGACCCCGAAAAGATTGTTCCCTTACACGCGTACAAGATAGAGGGACGCCCGAAGTGAAGTCATGTAGTGATTCAGGAGAGAAGCCTATGACCAGGAGACTCAATCGCATTGGCATCTGTCTCATACCTATCTGGGACGAGCATATTGACTGTTTAAGATGCTGGCTGGTGCAGCATTTCGGGTTGAAAAGGTGACTGTCTAGACGGCACTTGATCGTTACGCCATCTTCGGAAACACGAAACGCCTCTAGACAAATCATACTCAACAGAATTGGAGCCAGATCTCAACTTTACTCCACTCTTGTGCCAGATTCGAACTTGACGAACTGTTCCCATAGGTAAATACGCACGACCTAGCGCCGTATCCTAAGGACTTCATAAGATTGGCAGCAGAGCTTTTGTAAAGCGATCCACAACATCCCTCTTTTCTGGAGTCTGAACAGAGTGCAACGGTTGGTTCCTTTCCCGGTGTTTATCCTGCGGTCGCTTCACAATCCACATTTCACGGATACTTTCTTCCAGAAAATCAGCGTTCAGACGGCTGACTAGAGTACGCGCCAGGATTTTGCCTGCAGTGCAGAGAAGACTGATTCTCTCTTTCGGTTTCCTTTTTTCTTGAACAATGTATGTATAGTCATTGTTAGAGATCTGGTTTACAAGCATTTATTATCCTCGAATTGCGACGTGCACTCGGTATGGACGCTTTTGTGCTCGATTGTTTTGAGATTTAATTTCATATTCAACGAATGCTCGCGGTGCTCGTCCTAGTCTGTGCTGGCTTGTCCAAGTTATCGGTGAAATCTGATTGTTTATGTGTTCAACTACGTATGTTTATGAAGAAATAACTACGCATGTCCATATTAAGCTGTCAGGTTTACCGAACGTAATCATTTGTCTAGCGGGCGAGCCCACCTTCGTTGTGTCACTCATCATTTGGCTAATTGATCCGCTTGTGAAACAGTTTTTTGTGCGGTGATTGTGTACAGAGATCAGGGGCTTTATTTTTTTTCATTTCCCCAATCCTTCCGTCTACAGGAACAAATCCATCGCATTTATGCCGATCGACTAGTTTCATTGATCGCCGAACGTGATCAGGCTCGTGAGGAGATCTCTCGTCGGGATCAACTTATTGCCAAATTGCGGCGTGAACATGAGGCAGAGATCAAACGCGTCAAACAGATGACTTGGTGTCAGGTGTGTCTGAACGAGGCGTTCTATCACTGTTGTCCTGGAACGGCCTATTGTTCTGAACCTTGTCAGTTACGCCACTGGACCGAACAACACAACCGTGACTGTCGGCGCCGAGGGGAGTCTCAACAGCTTCAACAACAACAGCAGCAGCTGCAGCAACCTCAAAAGCGGTGATTTTCCTTTCAGGGGTTTCTTACTTCTTGTAAAATTTTCAATCTTTCAGTCATGGATAATGTCCTTGCGCCGTTATTTGTACAAATTCGTCCTCAACTTGGCGTAAAGTCACCGAACAATTTTGTCATTAATACTTTGCTTTCATTTTGAAAACCCCCTCTTCAGGAGGTAGAATCAGTTTGTTTCTGTTTCAACTGGTGTTGGTTACCGACATCTGTCCGTCTGCCCGGTTATCTCTTGCGTGTGTGGATTCATCGCCGTAGATGCCTGATAGACTTGTCCCTTTTTTATCGGGGTCTTCGTAATTCTGATTTCTTTTTTCTATCCGCACGTTTGCACATGATATCGGATGTTGAACATGATTCCGGGCTTTGAAGAACTGTTAGATTCCATTTAGCCACCAATCGGTCACGTGTTTTATGTCCGATGTTCCGATTCCAGCAAAACGTTCAAAGTCATTGTGATGTTCTTGTATGTGTGTGTGTTCGCATGCGTGTGGATTTTGGTCATCTCTTTGCTGTCATCCTTATGCAATCAGTCGAATCAGAAAATCGCCTTTCACACGTTTCTTTGTTCAACCATTTCTACCGGCAATGCTCTGTATCTACCTTATTTGCAACTACAGATGGACGTCTAGAAATTTTGAATTCTGTCTAGCATTCATTTGTGTTTTCATACTATCTTTAAATAGTACTTCTTACTGTACCACACACAAATGAACGCGCACACGCTTCATACCATTCGTACTTTCTTGTCAGATGGTTCGCATGCCGCCGTGTAATGAGAGCGCCCTTGCCCACCCGCATCTTTCTTCTGTCAACCAGTTCTCTCGATTCACGACTTCTGACGGGACACGCGTTCTTCTGAGACTGCCTTATGCTCTTTTCATCACACTACCATTCGTTGCAGTCCGTACGATTCTACCACGCGTATTACTACGCCGCGTACTGTGATGCGGTTCGTTGTCTGCGGTCAGAGTTCGAGCTCTGCCTGTTAAATCTGCATGCCCAATGTGATACGCGGAATTGTGTTTTTTCCCTTATTTCGGTATGCACCTGACGGCAGCTTTTCAAACGCCATCGGTGTGTGGTATACGCGCGCTCAAAATAGATTGACCAAAGACCGCTTCTCTCATTCATAAATCTGTGCAAACCATTTTGACGTCATATTTCGGGTGATTCTCTTCCGTCCACACGGCAGCTTTTTGGTGCAATCGTGAGAGGGACAGCGTTGTCACATCGATACCTTACACCATCCCTCCACGGCTTGTGCACATTGGTTCCTAGGTCGTTTTTTTTTCGGTGTCCTTTCCAATCTTGACGCTAACTTAACGTCCGCCTGTTTCCGGCAGGTACCCAATGCGGGTTAAGATTATGCGTCTCATTCGCTATCCCATCTGTCTGTGCCCCATCCTTGTTCCAAAGTTTCTTTCAGTTATCTATATTTTCAGTCATTCATTACTACTGCTGCCGCTGCTGTGGTCAAGTCCACCCTGTTTTATACTTGTATACTTGTAAATCAGAAATGAAATATTGCAGTACAGCATGTTTACAACGCATCCGATGTCTGCTTTTCAGGTGTAGTTTGTCTGTACGTCCACGTGCGGAGATACGCGTCTTCGCTGGATAAGTCGAAATCTAGGATGGATCACTGTGACCTTGGGTGCATTAACAGTTACTTCACTGTAGAATACTAGGTGTTTTCGCTTCTCAGTTCTCTCAGTCCGTCTGGGTCTGATGGCCCTACTTGGGGCAGATGGATATGTCAGTTGTGCATTTCGGCACAGAATAGAGAGGGATTTTCCGTATCCTGAATCAGACTGGTAGGAACCGCTGTAAAAACGGAAACGAAATCGCGTGCTTTGAGAGCCAGCATGTCATTAGCACCTTGTTATTGGCCCAGACGCTCCTCTAAATTGCACTGAGAAAAACTTTCTCACATTCAGATAGTTACTTGTCCAGGTAATTTGTTCCCCAGAAATCAATGGGAGGGGGCATATTAAAGTCGGACCACCGACTGGGTCCGATTTCGCACTCATTTCTGTCACTTCGGCAGCTTGGGCCAACGTCAAGGAACGTGAATGCACATCCCTTAAGTGGAACGCTCCCCAGTCCAGCAGTTGTTTGTTCAGCAGTCAAGCCCACCTCCTTGTCCTGGGGCTGTTCTCTCCCAAGGAGAGGAAGCAATTTGGTTTCTGTCGGGCGTTATTTTTGACCGGCGGACCATGTGTCAAAGTTAAAGTCTTCCGAAATACGTCCATTTTTCCCAGTGTGTCGGTGTATGGGTGGCTTGTATCCGAAACAGATTAGCCGGTCGACAGTGCTTGAGCAACTGGACATCTGTGGATAGTTGACAAGCTACACAATCCGAAGAATTAGATCGGTGGACAAGCACATAGGTGTCTGTTGTCCGCCTAAAATAATAAAATCACGGTTATTACTATAACCATATACTTGTTTACTTTTGAAATGCCAGTGTTGTATGTCACTCCCCGTTAATCCCCATAGCGCGTGGTGCTACCCGCTGGCTCAGTATTGGCACCCTCGTGGTATTCCAGTAATAGTACTGTTGTCAAAGTTGTCATCCGCAGAATCACTAGTACCAGAAAGATAGTGCTTCGAAACCGGTGTAAACGTTACAGTTTTTGAGGCTGTCACAGTAACGTGATTTCGAACTCCACTCTTTAACTGGTAGTTGACTTGTCCCAGGGTGTGGGTTTTGCCGTTCATCTCAAATCACCTGAAGATAATCAGTGCCCTCTGTCCAAATGAAATTCACCCTCTCTGTCGGTGTGTAGGAGTCCGTCTGCCTCACCCGAAATATTTTGCGCATATATTGCAGGTAAAGTCGGCCAAGCACCTTAGCCCTACAGTGAAGACGCCACAGTGACCCGGTACATGATGAGCTTGGTGCCAACCGGTGGTTGTTCCGGACGCCTTCCTCAAGATGACCGAATGCTGTACCGTTCTTCACAGTTTGTGCGTTGCGTTAGTAATCCAGTGTCTGGATTATGAATTGCCAAATTAGCGGAAATCGATACAACCATATAGTTGAGTGGTTTTGCGGTTTTGTGTCGAACTCTTGCTACAGGTTGTCCTAGAAGTATTTGCGGATTAGGACGTAGTACCACTGAATGAAAGGTCGTATTCAGCCATTGTAAACGCGAAAATTAGGTGCAATCAGCAGTATAGGAACAAACATGCGGTACTAAGTCAGCATGCCACTCTCAATGACATGACGACCTTGTGCATGTGATTATTCGATCCAGGATGGATAGGGTCGAAGCAAGAGCATGGCTACACTTTACTCCCACTTTGATTTCGAAGTTGAAAGAAGTAGTTACCTAAGTTCGCTTTGGAGCTTCTAGCCCAAAATGTATGCGGGGGGCTGAATATTTTTCCCGGGTGGCCCAAGACTATCCTCATTGCTTGGGGACGGGACGCGATGGAATCTGAAAACACTCCATAGAACGGCTAATTCTGCAGTAAAAGTTCAACCAATCACATTTTATCCACTTCGTAGTATGCACTGCCTTTTTGGAACATATAATGTCAATGACCAGCCGCGTGACAAATTCTTACCTGCGGTGCACGGAAGGCCAGTTATGCAGTAGTCGTCAGTCTTCCTTTTGATAATGCTAATCTTTTCGTGGTTGTATCTTTATGGACACCTACAACATGTTCGCTTAGTGTGTCGGATGAGCCGGGTGGTAATACCGGTATGGACAATGACACTCACGAGTGATAAGCCCTAGTAAGACCTGAGTCCATGTTCAGTAGTTACTCTGTTTCAGGCAGAACCCTGCCAGGTTATCGTGATGCCTGTTCCACAGAGCATGACGTGAATATAGACAATGGGTCTATCTAAGACAGTTACGGAGAACTACTTCTTACTCCGGTTGTGCTGATCCTGGCTAGGAGGCTTAGGCGTGCAAAATGAGGCTCTGGTTCTGCTGTGAAGGAAATTTCCATAGTATTATATTTGACTACGACCCATTTCTCTCACTTTCTGATAGAATTCTGTGTTTTGCGCTGTGGACGTTTCTCACATCAGTATAGTTGACCTTCCTACGTTGGTGTTAAGTTGCCAGTGCCATCCATACGTACACCAGACTGACAGTCGATTCATCTGAGTCAGGTAGTCTCTTTGTTTGAGTAACAGAATGTCAAAGCGTTGGAGTAAGGGAAGATAAGTTCATCCTCATTTTGTCCCACTGCCTCCTCACCAAACAGTGTGTATAAATCGGATGTCGAGTCAGAGGGAATGAGAAAAATCGCTATGTAGGTTTTTTGGCGGCAGACGGAGAGTCAGGAGGTGCATTGTGTGCTTCAACCTGAGTAGAACTGAGCATTTTCTGGCCATTGCTTCCTCTGGACAAACTGCATGAATACGACAGCAAGAGGTTAATTGCTTTTCGAGCTTTTTTCCCCCCTTGAAGATGAGCACATACCGACCTATAAGGAGTGGATACAAGTGACTGGTGATCCTTCGCATAGAGCTACTCGTTCACATAGAGGTGGCTTGGCTGAATCAATCCAGATAGTAAGTTCACGATGCTTGAACCGCAATAGTAACATAATCGCATAACGCAGCTCGGACAACTATAGTTTGAGGATTTTATTTGAATATTCAGAGGTGATTTGTGCTGCCAGACTGCGATGTAATACCTTGCAAGACGTCTGTGTATCTACTGTGAGTTGCCCAGGTATATTTGCCGCTTGTGCGAATCATTCCAAGCGGTGACGCTTCCGTCGCTTAGTTGTGCTTCCTTTAGTGAGTGTCGTCTTGGCCGGAAGGCGAACGACTCGTCTTCTTCCTACAGTAGTATAGGAAAAAGTCCCTGTAGGTTCTGCAATAACTGAAAAAGTACTCCCTTTAGCCACTGTTGTACATGTTATGTTGTCTGCTTCTGACTAGCCTGGCTGCAAGCTACCTGAAAGAGAACGAAAAGTCAACCGCACAGAATCTTCACAAGTGAACAAGTGACAAAGCTTGATACA